CTGGGCTCCGGGGGACTTGGGCAGAGCCCGTGGGACCCTCGCCCTCAGGCCGCTGGAGGGGGCAGGAGGCCAAGCTTTCCCACCACCCTCGCAGGACAAGAAGATGGCACGTTTGCCCTTGGCGCTGACTCAGGCAACCTCACCATGACCAGAAGTGTCCCCAGCCCAAAGACCTTCACTCTGGTGGTCAAGGTGGGCGCCCTGGCCAGGCCTCCACGGCCTTCCTGAGCCTCAGGCTGCAAGACTTGCCCTTGAGGACCCGCTGATCGCTGAGGCCTCCCCTCCCCCCCAGGGTGAGCAGGCAGACCGCGCCCGCTACTCGGTGACCTGGGTCACGATCGAGGCTCGAAATGCCACTGGGAGCCCGCCCTACTTCACCAAGAGCCGCTACCACGGCATGGTGGCGCGCGGCTCTGGAGGAGGCGTGGAGGTCAAGGATGCAACCACCCCCTCCCTGCCTCTGAGGGTCTGGGCCCAGGACCCTGACTTTCCGGTAGGCACCGGCCCCGCTGCGGGTGGGCTGGGGGGGGTCACAGGGGAAGCCTGGGCCCGGGACTCACTGGGCCGTGTTTAGGACCTCAACTCTGCCATCGCCTACCATGTCACCAATAACACTGACTTCCGGATGGATGGGGAGACCCTGCTGACCGCCTCTCTGTTGGCCCACGAGGGGGTCTTCTACGCAGAGGTGAGGGCAGGGGGCATCTCCAAGGGGTAGGGGCTAAGGCGGGGCCTGCGAGGGACAAGCCCCCTTTCTGCTCCAGGTTGAGGCCAACAACACAGTGACGGCAGGTACAGCCCGCACGGTGGTGGAGATACAGGTGCTGGAGTGGGAGGAGCCCACCCCCCCCACAGGTGAGCTGGACGCGGACCCCCCAGGCAGCAGCTCCGGGAAGGCCTCTTGCCTCAGCTGGGCTGGTCGCTTCCCCAGGGCAGCATGCTGGGGGCAGAGCCGAGCCCGAATCCTATCCCTCGTCCCCAGGCTCCCCAGAGACCCCCACATCCCCAGAGACTGGAAGAACAAGCAGGCCCCCCAGCAGCACCACTTTGGAAGCCCCCAGACCCCCGGGGCCCTCTCAGGCACCCTCTACGACCAGCTCTGCGACCCCGGGGCCCTCTCAGGCACCCTCTACGACCAGCTCTGCGACCCCGGGGCCCTCTCAGGCACCCTCTACGACCAGTTCTGCGACCCCGGGGCCCTCTCAGGCACCCTCTACGACCAGTTCTGCGACCCCGGGGCCCTCTCAGGCACCCTCTACGACCAGCTCTGTGACCCCGGGGCCCTCTCAGGCACCCTCTATGACCAGTTCTGCGACCCCGGGGCCCTCTCAGGCACCCTCTACGACCAGCTCTGCGACCCCGGGGCCCTCTCAGGGCCCGCACCCCACTTCAAGCACAATTCCGAGGCCACCTGCCTCATCTACGCCCGGGGGACCCCCCAGCGTGGAAACCAGCACCTTCCTCCCATCAGCTTCACCCAGCGGGGACTCAACACAGACGCTGAAGCCAGGAACCTCTCAGCCGATGCCCCCTGGGCCCAGCAGAACTCCCCAGACCTCAGGTAGCCCCTCTCATTTGCCCCAGAGTCACCCATCTATTCTCTGATGCTTACTGCTGGGGGTCCTGGGAATCCCTGTAGGGCAGGGCCCACCCGGGGCGGGGAGGCCCAGCCTGACCACACTGACCCTGAAATCCCAGGGGGTTTGCTCTGGTCTGGGCAGAGACCTATTCTGGGGCCCCCAACAAGGTAACCTGGGGAAGGTGTATGGAGGACGGGGCAGAAGCCAGATTTGGGGTCCAGTGGGCCTATAATTCCATGCTGTTCTCTCCAGGGGCCCCAGCACTGCCTTCATGGTCCCTCCTATGGTGCTGGGCCCCCCCCCGACCAGGAGCTGGTGGGCCTTGACCCCCATCTCCCCTCCCTCCTTTTGGCAGCCTCCTCAAGGGGAACACACAGCTCCTCAGCAGGGCGGTGGGCGGCGGGGGAGTGGTACCATGCCCCAGAACCCCAGCTCTGGTGGGACACCCAGTCTGGCTTGTTGTCATGGTGTCCAGAGCCTGGGGCAGGTCTGTCTGGGAAGTGCTTGGGGTGCTGATGGTCAGTGGGTGGTGTTGCTCCCAGGGCCAGCCCAGACTGGAGGAGGCAGCACTGCGGGGACCCCCGGGGACAGCGAGCCAGGTGTCGGTGCAGCCGGGGACCGGCGCTTCTCTGTCGTGGACATGGCGGCCCTGGGCGGGGTGCTGGGCGCACTGCTCCTTCTGGCTCTGCTCGCCCTCCTCATCCTGGTCAACAAGCACTACGGCCAGCGGCTCAAGTGTTGCTCCGGGAAAGCTGTGGTGAGGCCCTGGGGGGCTGGGGTCCAGGACTAGAGAGGGAGAGGGAGAGACAGGCAGGTGAGGACAGAGCCAAGGAGAGGTAGAGAGGGGGACAGAGAAGGGGCAGGAGGGGGAGCAGAGGTGAGGAAGGCTGGGGTATAGCCCACACAATGGGGAGGAGGCCGAAAGAGGCAGAAAGAAGGACTAGCCTGGGTCCTTGTCTCTGGGGTGGGGGTCCCGGCCCAGGCCTGGGGTCCTGGTTGAGGCCCTGGCTGTCCCTCTCCCCTCCGCAGGAGCGCCAGCCCCTCAGCTTTGACAATGAGGCCTTTGACGCCCCCCAGGAGGCCAACTGGGCGCCAGCTCCCCGCTCCTCCCCCGGTCTCACGCGGGCGGCCCCGGAGCCCGCGGAGACCCCGAAGCCTGCGCTCCTAGAGCCCTCCAGCACCACGACCCTGCGTCCAGCCTCAGAGTCCCCCGAGCTGACCCACGATGGAGGTAGCCCAGCGGCCATGAGGTCCATCCTGACCAAGGAGCGGCGGCCTGAGGGCGGCTACAAGGCTGTGTGGTTCGGGGAGGACATTGGGGCTGAGGCCGATGTGGTGGTCCTCAACACACCCGCCTCAGACGCGGCTGGTGCCATCGACTCTGGCAGCGAGGCCAGCAGTGACGAGGACGCAGATGCCGGTCCCCACGCCGATGACACGCCTAGCACTGGCTCCTCCTACATCTAGCTTGGCTCCCCGCCTCCCCCGTGGGCAGGACCTGATGTCTGCTGGCCGCTGGCCCCCACTCCAACCCGCACAATAAAGCGACAATTTCCAAGTTTGGCTGCATGAGAGTCAGCGGCCAGACCAGCCAGGGTCTCTCCCGGAGCTGCTGGCCGTGGGAGGTGACGGTGCATCCCATCCCTGGCCCCGCCCCCGCCTGGGCCCGGTGGCACTGGGGCTTCCCGTAAACCACGTGCTGCGCCCGCCCGCAGTGGGCCTTTCCACGATAGCGCCAGCTGGAGGCCTCAGTTCCTCTCGAGGCCTGACCGCGGGGGCGGGAGGGGGGCCTGTACTGCAGGGCCGCCACCTCCCCAGCTGACACGGAGATTCTTGACCTGAAGGAAAAGGAGGTTCTCCAAGATGGAGAGCAAACTCCCTGGAGACCTCGCAGGGGGTGACAGCCAGTGGGCCTGTGAGGTCCCCCTGTGGGCAGTTAACACTCGGTGCAAGGAGGCACCCCGTCCTGGCTTCCGGACTGTCACCTGTGGCTTGGTGCATGGGCTTGCCTGAGTGACAGGACTGGGAAGCAGTGGCTGCAGGCCATGGGCGGGGGAGGGGGATTGTGGCAGGTGGACCCCCGCTAGGAGGGGCACCAGAGCCACAGAGTGGGGAACAGAGCCTCCTCTGCTGGCCTCCCCAGGGCAGGACCGCAGGCTGGACTTCTTCCCTGACCCCCTCCACACTGTCCCTTGTAGGTCCTCTGAGTTTTTCCTATGAAAAGCCACCTCGAACTGCTTTCCAAATGTCTTATTCTCAAGGGTATGAGTATTCTTGTCTGAACAATTCTCATTAAGATTACAAAGGCGGAAGGGTGGGGGCACCTGGTTGGCTCCGTGGGTCACCCGGGGACTCTGGATTTCCGTTCAGGTGGTGATCTCCGGGTCTGGCTTCCAGCTAGGACGGGGCTCTGCACTCAGTGGGGACTGCGCTTGGAGACCCTCTCTCTCCGTTCCTCCCTTCTGCTTCGTGCCTGCAAGCTCTCTCTCCCACAAATAAATCTTTAAAAAAAACCCCAAACCAGCAGTGTGCCTAGGTGGCTTAGCCGGTGGGGCACCCCACCTTGCTCTCAGCGGGGGTCTTGACGGTGCGATCCCGCGGTTGGAGCTACTCTGGGCGCGGAGCTACTTTAAAAAAAAAAAAAAAATCCGAAGGGCAGGGCTGCCCCTTGGCCCACGCTCTCCTCCACGACCCACTTCCCCGGGGAAGAGAAGAGAAGATGTGTGGGGTCTTCAGTTCACCCCACTGCCTCCCCACCCCCACTAGTTGCCAGTGGCCCCCTGCCCCGTCCCTGCGTGTGCGGGGCCGCGTGCTCCTTGAGGGAGAGGAGTGACTGGACCCCGCAGGACCCGCCAGTCCCGCCGCCCCTGCACGACCCCCGCCCGCATCCGGGAGCCTCCGCGGGGTCCTGGGGAACGCGTCCCCCCAGCACACAGGGGACCCCGCCGCCGGAGCACGTGACTTCCTCGGCTGCACCTGCAGCCGCGCCCCGCCCCCCGTCCCCTCCCCCACCGGCCCGTCCCCATAAAAGCGCGCGTTCCGGGCGCTCCGGGAGACCAAGCTTCCAGCCCCGGAGCCCCGGCGCGTGGGGAGCGCGAGCGCAGAGAGGCGCGGGCGCGTCGGGAGGGTCCCGCGCCCGGAGTCGGGGCGGGACGGAGAGGTGGGGGTCGTCCCGCTGACCCGCCGTGGGTGGCGAGCGGCGAGCGGTCCCGGCTTCGGCTTAGGTTTCGCTTTCCCGGCGCGCGGTTTCGCTTTCCCGGTGCCCGGGGCGCGCCCCAGCCCGCGGCCGCCCCCGCGGTGTCTCCGCAGGGGACCCGACGGCGCCCTCCGGCCCGGGACTGGGCGCCGGCTCCACACCCGGGACCCCCGGCGCCCGCGCAGCCCCCCGGGAGCCCCGCGCTGTGCTCACCCCCGCGCCACCGCCGCCCAGAGCCTGCACCTCGGCAACGTCGTGGCCGGCGGCCCTCCGCCGCGTCTGGGGTCCCCGCACGTGGAGCGCCTGCGCCGCACCGTCCGTGGGCACCCGCGAGCCACGCTTCCCGCCTGCGGCCGTGACCGCCCCTCCCGGCGGAGGCCCCCCGCGCCCCCGCGCCCCCCGCGTCGGTCCTGCGCAGCGAGCGATGGCCGCGGCCGCTGACAGGTGAGCCCCCGTCCCACCCCGGCTGCGCGGCCACTCCGCTGGCCGCCCGCACCCTCACCCGCCGGCCACCCCGCCCGCAGGAGGCCCCCGCGCCTGCTCTTCGGAGACTGGCTTCTGGGGGAGGTCAGCAGCGGCCGCTACGAGGGCCTGCGGTGGCTGGACGCGGCCCGCACGCGCTTCCGCGTGCCCTGGAAGCACTTCGCGCGGAAGGACCTGGGAGAGGCTGATTCCCGCATCTTCAAGGTGGGATCCCCAGCGCGGCCGAGTGGGAGGGTCGGCTCAGGGCCTGGCCCGCGCCCCCATGCTCACTCACACCGTCTGTCCCTCTCCCCAGGCCTGGGCGGTGGCCCGCGGCAGGTGGCCGCCCAGGAGCAGCGAGGGCAGGGGCGGAGACGACCAGCTGGCCCTGGAGGGCGCGCTCCGGGCCGGCTGGAAAACCAACTTCCGCTGTGCGCTGCACAGCACCCAGCGGTTTGTGATGCTGCAGGACAACTCAGGGGACCCCGCTGACCCGCACAAAGTGTACGCGCTCAGCTTCGAGCCTGGGGAGAGAGGTGAGGAGCCCCCGGGCGGGGGCGGGGGCAGCTGTGGAGGGGGCAGGACGTTTGGGGCAGAGATGGGGGCTGGGAGGGCACTGGGATTCTGCTCTCCACTGGATAGACCCCGCGGCAGAGCCGTGCTTTCCAGAAACTGGCCTCAGAGAGGTTGGTGCCAGGTTGTTGGGGGAGGGCAGGGAGAGCTGATTGGGACTGCTGGGATTAGTGGCGGGGCCCCCCAGCTCTGAGGGCCTACCCAGAGACACATACCCAAGCGTCCCACTCCACAGAGTCTCATCCCACACTGCCCTGATCCCAATTCTCTCTTGGAAGGTGCGGGCACTCAGAAGGGGGAGAAGGACCTGGACGACGCCCCGCCCTGGACGGTGAGCCTCCTCAGCCCTCCTTGTTCCCAGGTGGGGGCTGCCACTCTTCCCTGGGGCTGGGGAGCTGCTGACACCGGCCCCTCCTCCCCTGCAGGGTGGGCTCCCAGGACCATGCCTGGCAGGAGACGCTGCTGAGAGGCCAGGGCTTGGGCTGAGCCCTGAGCTCGGAGCCCCAAGCCCCCCTTTTGGCGCAGCCGACAGTGCTGGGGACCTCTTGCTCCAGGCTCTGGAGCAGAGCTGCCTGGAGGCCCACCTGCTGGAAGCCGCATGGGTGGGGGACCCGGTGCCCCCAGAGGCTCCCGGTGAGAGGCTGTGTCGGGTGGGGGTGCTCAGCCTTGCAGGGTTTCATGCCCGGGGTGGGGGCGGGGAGGAGCAGGCGGGAGGGCAGAGTCCGAGAGGAGAGGGAGAGGCTCGGGGTGGGGTGGGAGTGAGGACAGCCCGTGGAGATGGAGCCTGCCACAGCCGGGCCTGTCCAGCTGCTCCCAACGGCGCTTTTTCCTCCTCAGGCCTGGAGCTCCGGAACACAGAGCGGTGCCTGCCAAGGGCAGGAGACACGGCCCCTGAGCACCAGGTGCAGGAGACAGGTGAGAGCCGGAGGTGTGTGCGGGAGTGAGGGCCTGGAGGGCCAGGTTTCAGCTTGGGCCTTCCTCCCCAAATGCAGGCCTGGCCCTGGTCCTGGAGCCCTGGCAGCCTCCACCAGATGTGGAGCCTTGCCCCGGGGCGGCTGCTGAGCCTGGATCGCAGGGAGAGCCCAGCCTGAGGGCCCTGGATGTGACCATTATGTACAAGGGCCGCACAGTGCTGCAGGAGGTGGTGTGGCGTCCAAGCTTCGTGTTCCTCTACGGATCCCCAAGCGCAGCCACCACGGCCACTGAGCCCCAGCACGTGGCCTTCCCGAGCCCGGCGGAGCTCCCTGACCAGAAGCAGCTGCACTATACGGAGAAGCTGCTGCAGCACGTGGCCCCGGGACTACAGCTGGAGCTCCGGGGCTGTAGGCTGTGGGCCCGGCGCCTGGGCAAATGCAAGGTCTACTGGGAGGTGGGAGGGCCCCTGGGCTCTGCCAGCCCCTCCACACCCCCCTGCCTGCTGCAAAGGAACCAAGACACCCCCATCTTCGACTTCAGCACCTTCTTCCGAGGTCAGTGATACACCAGACTTGGGGCCGCGCCATCCCTGCCCGCTCCCATCCTGCCAGGGACCCCCGCTCACCGGAGTCCCCTCCCGCAGAGATGATGGAGTTCCGGGCTCGCCGGCGTCCAGGCTCCCCGCACTACACCATCTACCTGGGTTTCGGGCAGGACCTGTCAGCTGGGAGGCCCAAGGAGAAGAGCCTGGTCCTGGTGAAGGTGAGGCTTGGGGGTCCCGGGAGGCAAGGCCGCACACAGCCCCCGTCTGTCCCGTCCTGTCTGTCCTGACGACACCCTCCCCACAGCTGGAGCCGTGGCTGTGCCGGGCGCACCTGGAGTGCGTGCAGCGGGAAGGGGTGTCCTCCCTGGACAGCAGCAGCCTTGGCCTCTGCCTGTCCAGCTCCAACAGCCTCTATGAGGACCTGGAGCGCTTCCTCATGGAGGTGCAGCAGCCCGCCTGAGGGCCGGCCCGTCTCCAAGCCAAGAAAAAGGCCTCAAGAGTCAGTGCTGGTGTCCTGCGCAGGGGTGGGCTTGGGCTCAGAAGGGGCAGCAGACTTCCGGGAGCCCCCAACACCTACAGGCCCAGGACACGAGGCGACCACCCTGCCCCCGCCCGCCCTCCTTGGTCTTCACAATGAAGAAACAGGCCACACGCTTTAGAGCCAACAAACTCTACTCAAAGAATACAAAACGCTCCGGGGACAGTAGGTATCTGTCCCTGCAGGTGTGCTGGGGAGGAGGCACCACGAATGGTCGACTCTGTGCTGTGTGCAGCCCCCTCCCCGCCGGCTTCCAGACCCACCGACACTGCGCTCTGCTCGCGGGAGGCAGCAAACACGAGCGTCACTTACAGAGCGTAACAGAGGGCTGGGCATGGCCTTCCCTTGTTACTCCAGAAAATAAAATCAGGCCATCGGCGAGAGGGGTCAAGGAGCTTCTTCCACCCGCCAGGCCCCTCCTGATCACCAAAGCCTCTGACTTTCAAGTACTGAGTCAATCAAGAAGTTTCTAAAGATAATCCATTTTTGATAAATTAGAACACAATGGAAACTGTGTATCTATAATATACATATAAAAAGGTCCAGTTTGAAACTGAGCAGGACAAGTGCGCAGGGCACATGTGGTCGTGGGAGCCCTGATAGCGGAGTGCTGGCCGGCTGTCTTCCGAGGTCTCTGCTTCTGCCGTCCCTAGCGGAAGCGCCAGGGGTGGCCTCAGCTCTCCGGGCCCTGGGCAGGCGCCTCCTCCCCAGCCTCGGGCCTCCGGTGCCGGCGCATGTGTCGGTATTTGTCCACGTAGGCCTTGACCAGGTTGCCCACCTTCACGGGGTTGATCTCCCCGCTCTTGCTGTGGCATATCTGGGGGCGTGGGAGAGGGGCACACATGACCCAGATGTCCCCCCACGGGTCACAGGCACCGAGCACGAAATATCCCCCTACCAGGGCCGCCTCGCATGCCTGCTGAGGGCCCAGCCCCTGGCCAGACACGTGTGGCCGTGGGCCCCAGATTTGGCCCCAATGCCCTGGGCCCGAGAACCGCCCTCAGGCTCTGGCTCTCCCACCTGTGGGAGCGGTGCATCCGTACCTCCTGTCTCTCGCCCACTGAGCAAGGGACAGGGGCGCCATCCTGTCCCCTCACCAACACCCACGCTTCCTTTTCCCGAGCATCTGAGCTCCCGACAGGAAGACAGAAGCGGCTTCTAGCCGTCGGCCCCTCCTGCGCGCACCCACCTTCTGCACAGCCTTGCGCAGGATGTCCTTGTACTCCTCCTTGGTTACCTCCCGCTTTTGGTAGAAGGGCTTGATGGCCAGCTTCACCTCCTCGACTGCCCGCTCCTGCACCTGCAGCTTCTTCATGTACTGAGGGCAAGCACGGGGGTGACCGTCAGGCCAGGGGCTGCGCCGCCAGCCCCCGCTGTGGGGCCTGGGGCCCACACTCACCTCCTCATTCTTGGCCTTCTCCGCGGCAGGCCTGGGAGCCGCCGCCCTCTCCTCGGAGTTGCTGGAGCCGGTGCTGTAGGCGGCTGGCTCGGAGGCTGCAGGCAGGGCGGGTGGCCCCGGGGCCGGGCTCTGCGTGACCCCGCAGCTCGCCAGGGGAAGGCTCCCGTGTAGGATGTACTGCACCGCGGGCTGGCCGGCTGCTGCGTATGGCGGGAGACTCATAGGCAGAGCTGGGGCGGGAGGCAGGTTCGGGGTATAAACCTGGACAGAAACGCGCACGGTTCAGGGTAGCACTCCTCACTGCCACAGTAAGAGCCCCGGCCAGAGAGGGGAGTCCTCGGCCCCAGCCCAGCACCACGTCGCTCCAACCCAGGCACCCACCTGAGAGGGCTCCGCCTCGGGGAAGCCGGACTCTGGAAGCACGTAACCGGCGGGAGGGGGCTCAGAGAAGGGTGCCTGCTGGAACCCCACCGAAGAGCCCATGTCTTCTGTTTCCCAGACCCCTTCCCGGGGCTTCTGGGGCCTGTGGAGCGGCATCCCTGAGGGCCAACACAGGGGAGGGTGGGTGCTCTTGGCCACCCTGGGCCAGAAGTGGCTTCCCAGCTGGAAAATTCCAGAAAGGCATCCCAGCAGCAAGGACCACAGCCTAGGCTGCAACCACCTCCCTGCCTTGTGGTCTATGCTACCCGAGGGACCGAAGAGATCCGTGTGCCGCCCCCCCTCCCCCAGCCAAGCACACAACCCAACGGATATCCCCCCATGCTGCCCCGAGCCATGCCCTCGAGTGCCCGCAGGAGCGTCCTACTCACGCAGGCCTGGGTCCGCGGCGGGGGCGCCACTCTGCGCCTCCTGTAGGTTCCACGTGACTCTCTTCACCAGCGCTTTAGCCCGTAGCAGAGGGGGCTGGGGGGGGCCTTCCTCCTTCCCCACGGGCACCCCGCCCACAACCCGGCTTCCCAGGGCGCCGGGCACCATGGCGGCCCCAGTGGCCTCCTGCTGGAGCCCGGGCCTCTCTTCGGGGCCCTGTGCCCGGGGCGGGGCCTGGGTGGTGTCTTCACCGTGAATCGATGACACCTCCCGCCGGAGGACGGCCACGGCCAGGCTGGTGTCCTGCGGGTGCCGGCCAGCCTGCGTAATGGAAGGAGCGGGTGGGAAGTCTCGCTCTGGGGAGGAGTCTGTGCTCTCAGGGGAGGGAGGGGAGCTCATGTCCTCCAGCTGCATGAAGAAGGCTTCGCTTGAAAAATCCTCGAAGACGTGTCCTGCCTCGACAGAGTCACCGTAATCCAGGTCCTCGGGCGGATGGCCCGCCGGGGCCTCTGGAGCCATCTTGTGGGTTTCGGCCCCGGCTGGGGAGGCGTCCGCTCCTGCCGGGGCCAGCGGCCTGGCTGGCGGCTCCGGGTCAGGCTTCTGCTCCTCCTGGAGAACGGGTGTCAACTTCCTCTCTGGAGAGCGAGGCCTTGGCCGCCTCTCATGGGAACGAGGACGCTGGTGCTCACGGGACCTGTGCTCTGTGCTTGGCGACCTCGGCGACCTGGATCTACGCTTCCTCCTCTCGTGGGAGCCCCACCGGGTTCGGGGTCGCTCCCGGCTCCTCTCTCGTGGGCTCCTCTCCCTTGTGTGCCGGTGCCTCCGGGCTCTCTCTAGGCTGCTGGGGGGTGAGCACTCCCGTCCCCGAGACCTGGACCCTGATCGCCTCCGCTTCCTTCTCCTGCTCTCCCTGCGTTCGTGGGAGGAGCTGCCGGGGCTGCCCGAACGGGACCTGGACCTCCGCCGGCCGTGACCCCAGGAGTCCCTCTTCCTCCTCCTGCCCTCATCCTTCGCCTTCTTCCGCTTGGCTCGCTCGTGGCTGCTGGAGTGGTCGCTGGAAGACCTCCGGCCCCGGGACTTGGTCTGCGGCCTCTTGGGGTGGTCGTCCCCTACCGGGGAGGACATAGACCGTGAGCTCCTGTCCCCAGAGCGGGAACCTGAGCGGGAGCCCGAGCGGGTCCTCCTGTGCTCCCTGGACGTGGCTCGCTTCCTCTTGGCTTTCTTCCTGCCACGGGAGCTGGATGTGGAGCGGGAGCATGACGGGGACCTCAGCTCCACGATCCTGTGGGTGGTCGTCTGTGGCACATCAGGGCTGGGTGGGGCCTCCGGCTCGGCTACAGTCACACATGTCACCATCCGCTCCTCGGAGCCAAAGAAGGTACTGCAGGGCAGCTGGCCCTTGTCCTCCCACGGCTCCGGGGGGGGGGCCCTCTGTGCCCGGGAGGCTGAGCCCTGACCCTCGCCCAGCCCCTCATGCAACCCCTCGCACTCCAGGTCAGAGGTCCCCTCGGCAGCCCCCTCGTCCCGCAGCTCGAGCCCGCTGGAGGAGGGCCCCCGAGGGGGCTCGGGCTCCGTCCCCAAGACCGTCTCCACGGTGTAAGAGGTGACACAGCGCACCGTCTGCAACGCTGGGGCCTTTGGGCTGTCGATGGAGATGGTGCGTGTGATCTCAGACGGCAGGAGGCCAGAGCCCAGGCGCTCAGGGCTGCTGCCGGCGGAACTGGAGTCGGAGCCTGTGGGGTCAAAGGGGTCGTAGATCTCGCTCTTGAGCTGTTTGGTCTTCCTGATGGAGAACAGGGGTGAGGGGTTCTCCTTCCTCTGCACCTTATTGTCGACCGGCCGAAACGTGTTACAAAAGCCAGGGTTGGAGAGTCTGCCGGAATGTGCCGTGTTCCCGGGAATATTGATCCTGAAGCTCTGAAAGGTCGAGCTGACCCCCTTCCCCTTCGAGGGTCCCGGTGAGGTGGGGGACTGGGAGCCGCCCCCGGAGTGCGGGCCAGGGTCCTGGGGGCCCCTGTTGCTTGGTTCACCCTCGGCTCTGGCACCATGGCCGGGCTGCCCGGGGCCCTCCCTGCCCGTGAGCCGGCTGATGCAGGAGCTGGGGATCTCCGCATGTTGCTCGCTGGCGGGCGCCGCGTCTGCCTGTCTGCCGCCGCTGTCCTCCCTTCTGACCTTTGGTATCCTTGGTAGCTCGGAGATGTCGGGCCTCCTGGGAGCTGGCTTCAGGGCCTGGCCCAGCAATGCACCAGCGGGCGGCAAGTGACAGCAGCTACTGGGGGTCTTGGAGGACGCAGAGCTGGGAAGCAGAGCGCGCCGGCTGTTGCTATCACATCGAGTGTCGTCCCTTTGCTTGAAGCCAGGCCCGCGCACGCCTGACAGGCTCTGAGTCTGACCGGACAGAGGGGTCACGGACGGGTCCAGTCTCACAGTCGCCCCAGTCCTGAGTGCAGGGACACGGGAGGGCGCTGGCCCGCCATGACAGCTCAGCCCCGCACCCTGTGGCCCACCTCCCGAGTGCGGCACTCTGGGCTGTAGGCAGGCCCCGGGCCCAGGGTGCTTGGGGCCTTGGGATGAGCCGCCTGTGCTCCGAGGGAAGGAAACGGGTGCTGGAAGACAAGAGGGTGAGTGGTCATCAGTCCCTGCCGCAAGCAGTTTGTCACCTGCCCCAGATCACAACGGCCTTCCCCTAAAAGCTGTGCTTTTAACTGCCTATTCCCGGGGCACCTGGGGGGCGCTTAGTCAAAGTGTCTCCCTTTGGCTCGGGTCACGATCTCGGCCTCCTGCGACGAGCTGTGTGTCGGGCTGGGGAGCCTGCTTCTCCCCCTCCCTCTGCCCCCCGACTCCCTGGCTCGTGTGCCTGCTCTCTGGAATCAATGAATAAGAGCTTTTAAAAAGTCACAATAAACAGATAAATAAAGGCCAGTTCCCCCTTAACCCCTGACGGAGACCTCGGCGCACCTGGGGGTCTGGGCAAGGGCTGGTCTCACAAGCCACCACAGGCACTTCCTCATGGCCTCACAGGTGTGCTCTGCACCCACGGAAAGTGTCCCTGCCAGTTACAGAGGCTTGTCATGGCAGGGGTGTGTGCGCGTGTGCGCGTGCGTGCGCCAGGGACAGGAAGGGCACAGCCAGCCCCATCCTCCATGGCTGGGGACCCCCACCCCAAAAACCTCCCAGGGCCCGGCTACGTGGGGGAGGGACCCACAGGGGCCGGCTCCATGGCTGTGGGAACGCACACCAGCCACGTTACGGCCACAGAGAGTCTGTGGGCTGGTCCAGAAACCCCATCATCACCTCAACCCTCAGCCTGTGAACTCTTTCAGAAAGGCAGGTAGAATTAATGGAAAAGAAATGAGAAAACCATGCCCCCTCAACGTCCACTCTGAGCAGAGAATGCGTTTTAGTTCAACTGTCTCCTTGACCACCGGCTCGGAGATAAGGAGAACCCGGGGCTCATTCCCAGGGGGCCAAGGCAGAGAGGGCGTCCCCACGGACGTGGTAGCCACCTCACCTGCCCTCTTGGCGCTGAGGGAGCCGTCCCGGTGGATGACGATGTCCGCGCCATTCATCATCAGCAGGCTCTGGCCCGACAGGATGCTCCCCACCAGGTCTGGGACGGGGGCCTCGTCCACCTCCGGCTCAGGCGCCACGGCAGGAACACTCCTCCTGCACGTATAGACCCGCAGCTGCCTCCCTGTGCCCAAGACCCTCACGCCAGCGCCCTGCAAGCGGGCAGCATTGGACACAGCCAGCAGCCCCCAAAAAGAAAAGCAGGCTGTTCGGAGGTGAGATCATCTGACGCTTCTGGCCCCAAATGCCCCCCGACAGTCCTGTGGTAAGGGAGGGTGTGCAGTGGCCTCCAGTTCCCACGGCTCCTCGCCCCCACCGCACGCCCAGACAGACTGCGGCGCTTCCTCCCAGGCCAGGTGGAGCACCAGCCCCTGTGGAGCCCCGCTGGTCAGGGCCACCCCCCAGGACCACGGCCCCCTGCCCGCACACACCTGGAGAGCCCCACGGCCACGGGCCTGGCTACGGGCCGGTGAGAACGCAGCGCTGACTGGGACAGGACCCGCCTCTTGGCACTCAACGGGGATGCAGGGTTTGCAGACGGCTCTTCACTGCTGCAGAGCACGGAGGCTGAAGGGACGCTGACCCCACACCATCGGAGGCCCAGGGAGACCCCAGGCCCCTCCTCGATGGCACATGCGGCAGCACTCGTGCCCCCAGTGGCACACGGCCCCCACGGAGGGGCTTCATGCTGGCAACGGCTCGCTGGGGTGGGTGCGCAAGCTGGACCACCTCCGCTCGAGCAGAGGCGGGTGTAGGGAGCTCCACCACCCCTCAGGACTCTAAGGAGGGGACCGCCATCGCCACCCTCGCCAAACAAACACAACGTCCGAGGCCACTGGCCACAAGGAAAGGAGGGAGGTCGCCCTGCCGTTACCTGTCAAAGGGGTCCAGCTCATAGGGGTCTCCAAAGAGCGACAGGGAGGCCACGCCGATGTCCGCACGCATCAGCCCCAGAGAGGGGTCTGCCGGCTTGTGCACAGATGGGATGCAGGCTCCACGGGCCGGACCCCGGAGGCCCAGTGTCCGTGCGATGCGGGCGCGAGCTGTGGCTTCATTCTGAACCGAAGTCACAAAAGGCAGGAATGGTAAGCAGGACGGGAGCTGAAGGCTCCAGAACCACCACCCAGGACGCTGAGTAAATGTCACACGGGAGCCGAAGGGCTTCACGTGTATTAACAACGTTCCAGAGGTTTTACCCCAACAGAGTTGACGAGCACATCTCAACCTCCCCAACCTAACACACTGCAAAACTGCCCGCAGGAGCTGGGCACAGCTGGTACCTCGCGCCGCGGGGGTGTCCGACCCTGCACACACACTGCCAAGCAGCACGACGGGCCGTCCGGGTGACGGCTGCCTACACACCTGAGGAGCAGCGCTGGGGGACCCACACCCCCACACGGCAGGTGTGCCACCAACCCTCCAGGACTTTCACATCGGTGGACCACCAGAGCAACTGCTCACTCTCATTGAAACGGGAAGTGTAGGCTCCGTAAGTGTGAGCTCTAGCACTCACATCATCAGGCAACGACAAAGGTCTCAGGTATAAGTTCACGTTCGGTCGCAACAAACACCTGCACGACGGCCACAGTGGGCTCGTACGTTTCACATTAACGCGCTCTCAGTGCGCGGCCCATGAGCGCAGGGAGGACGACCCTTCAGAGCTGGGACGCGTGACACAGGCGGCACACACACGAGGAAGGGCCCGCCCCGAAGCCTGGGGGTGAGAGAACCGGAGCAAGGGGAATGGCCTGACGTGGGCAGTGCTCGCAGGGGACCCTCTCGAGTCACCTTGGCAGGACAAGAGTGTCCCAGCCGAAAACATGGCCGCACGCCCTGGGTGGCATTCCTCTCTCAACTCCCCCACAGCTCCCACTGGGCTCCTGGGCACTAGGTGACCATCCGCCTGCCTCCCGGACAAGCTGCTGGCCACAGCCCTGAGGCCTCCAGACCTGCTGGGCCGCCTAGGGCCCACCCCTGGGGTGTCAGGAGTCCTACGCAAGCCCTCAGGATGTCCGGCTCCAAAGGGTCCTGGGAAATCTCTTGTCTCAGCCCCATCTTTAATGTGTGCTGTGGAAATGTTCATCTTTATGGGTGGATCTCTAAGCAAATACAGAAAAAAGGAGCTTTTTCTTTGCGACCCGCCACCTAGCTGCACGAGGGAACTGACAGCACGTGGGGAACGCTACCGTCCGAGGCTACCTTTGACTTTTTCCCTTTTCTCTTCCTCACGCGACCCTGGCGCTTCTTAGATCTTGTCCCCGAGCTTCTGCTCTTCACAGACGACCTGGACTGCGTTTTCCTTCTTCCCAACACTTTCTTCCGTCTTCCTACAAAAAGCACATTGAGAGTCTATGCTTCCCTCCATGCCCCGAGCCCCCCGGCCCTGCCCCTGGGTGTCCCCCCTCAAGGACGCACTCTGCGCCCCCAGGACCTGGCATGAAGACAGTCACATGCAGAAACAGGTCGTAACTTCACCAGCATTTCTGCGCGGAGGAGTGAGGAGGGAAGGCGCGGCGGTGCAGAGCAACCTGCCAGGCCGATTTTTACACCAGTGACTGTCCCACGTCATTTGTCACACACCACAGTGAAACGAAAAACGAAGCTACCAGCCCTGATGACACAGAGCGAAATGAAATGAGGGGCCCCAGGTACGCGGCCACCGGCTGTGACCCTGGGGCTGCTCCCGACAGATTGGGGTGTGGGGCACTGGCCGCACGGCTTCTGCAGCCCGTCCTCAAGACCAAACTGCCCACACTCCGGGCTTCGGCCCTGGTCCGGCTCAGGGACGCTACCATGGGCTCAAGAAGGACGCTCATTGCAGGACGCCCCGGCAGCCCCTGGAACGCGGTGGGGGGCTTCAGCCTGGAAGGAGTGGCTTCCGCAGGGACGGAGCGATGGGCCCTCGCGACGTCTGCGGGGAATAACCCCCCTTCCCCCGCCACGGCCCACGTGCAAACTCTGGGCCCTCACAGCCCTGCCTGAACTCCACCCAGCAAGTGACTAGCAAGCGAGCTCCTGCGAAGCAAACCCGGGCCCGGGGAAGGACCGCCCCGCGGGGAGGCCTCTCCCTGCCTTGGTGAGCCCAGCGGGCCCCACCTGCGCCCTCCGCCGGGCCACTCGCAAACCCAAATCCAGTCGGACGAGAGTTTTGGGTGAAGCCGGGGGACCCTGTGGTTCTGCTCCGGGCCGCCACAGCGGGAGGGGAGCCCCGGCCCCCCAGTTGCCCCCAGAGTCAGGAGCTCCCAGAGCCACTCACCAGGCGCGGCCAACAGTGAAGCACGGATCTTGCCGGGCTCTGGATTCAAATAAACTAGGTTTTAAAATTCTATCACATTTATGACACAATTAGAACCTTCAACCCTGAGACTATCTCACGGCGTTAAGGAACCGCTACTTGACTTCTTGGGGTCACAAGGGTACTGTGCTGCAGCTCAAAGGAAAAAAGACGGCGTCTCTCAGAAACACATTAGAAAATACCTCCAGGTAAGAGGCCGATGACAAGAAAGATCTGCTTCAAGACAACACGGAAGGGAGCAGGTGAGGGGGTACAAGTGAGGTCGAGGCCAGGCGACACGATGGCTGAGTGGGGACTCGCTACGCATTTCTCCCTCTGCCTCCAAAGCTTTGACAGAAGTCTGCAAAAGCGAAAAATTCACTAACAAAACCAAAACAAAATGAGAACAGGAAACCAAAAAAGAACCCAAAACCAAGGTGCCTGGCGGGGGGCTCAGCGGATTAAGCCTCTCCTTCGGCTCAGGTCATGATCTCAGGGTCCTGGCATCGGGCTCTCTGCTCAGTGTGGAGCCTGCTTCCCTTCCTCTCTCTCTGCCTGCCTCTGCCTACCTGTGATCTCTGCCAAATAAATAAATGAAATCTTAAAAAAAAAAAAAACAAAACAGAACCTCAAACCAAGGGAGCAAGCCAGACGCAAAGACAGAAGAACTGTTCTCTGCCATATGAGCACAGGGAACGGGGGTGCGCTGGGGACCAAAGCAAACCCCTCCAGTCCTGCCTCGAACCACAGCGCTGGCAAGACCTGAGCTGTTCTGAGGCTGCTCTCTGGGGGAGGGAGACGGGTGAGCAGGGGCACCAGTGAACACGGAATTGCGGAGTTTCTGACACAAACACCTGCAGATGCAGATGAGACAAACAAAACCCCGTAACCTTCGTTCAGTCAAGTCAGAGACTGCATGACCTTAGCATGGATTTCCCGGCTCTGTCCACTAGAAAGGGCTGGAAAGGACGGCCCGCCCCGGCAGAGCACACACACAGAGCGCGGTCACACGGTTGGGAGGCCCACGAGTGCAGGCTGCCCACCCCCGCACCTCCGCAAGCCACAGAGCCAGACAGCATCCGGGTCTCGGCCCCAAAGGTGGGGAACGCAGGGCACGGCAGGGCGTGTCACACACCCAGCAGGCACAGCGAGGACAAACGCCGACCATCCCCAGGACTGTGGGGGGTGGGGGGCGCATGCTGCTGACAGGGGTACGGGCCACAGAACCCTAACTGCATCTTCCCCCCATGAGCCCACGGTCTCCTTCCCCAGGAGAAACCGAGCACCAGCCGGCAAGCCACCGCCACAAGGACATTCAGAAGACTCGCAGCAGCTCTGTCCCAACAGCCCAAGCAGAGCACAAGCCAGGCGGCCCGCGTCAGGACACCCGTCAAGGGACGGCGGCATGTTCGGGGAGCGCCGACGCCCCTCCACAGAAACTCACCCACCGACACGGGCTCCGAGAGCACCACGCCACGCCAAGTGACATGCCACTGTGTGCTCGGGAGGACCTTATGGACGTCTGAAAACGGGCAAAGCCAGTGTCCAGGGCGAAGGACGCCGGGACTGCCTGCTGGGGGCGGGGGCGCTGGCTGGGAAGGGAAGGGCCCGGCCGGACGGCGATGCTCACTGTCAAACTTGGATTGGTGCAGGTGACGCGGGAAGACCTCAGGTCGTAACCCACTGAGTAAGTCACAGTTCGCTGACAACCGACGGGGAGAAGCAGAGCTCCCCACCGGAGCCCACGCCAGCTGAGGAACAGAGCTTGAGCCTGACCCTGGAAGCCATGCGCCGCGTTCTGTGGGCAGGGCCGGTGTGGGGTGGGGGGGGGTACTGCCCACGAGGACCCCAGGGCTTCTCCCCGGGAGGGGCCTACTGATACCAGGCAAGGACAGGACCTACTGGGACAAAATCACCAGAATGAACACAGAAAAAGACAAGAAGCCAGTCAATTCATCAGTTCAATGCTCCCACAGAGAAAGGCCCAGAACCAGGGGCTTCCTGGTGTAGCACTGCATCTGGGGGGAAGCAAGACCATTCTGCCACCAAGGCCTGCAGAGTGCTTCCCACCAAGCTGGGCGCGGCCGAGTCGCCCAGATGCGTGTGCAGGCGGCCTGCGGTGGGTGGTCAGAAGGCCTGAGCGGACTAGACCAGCCTGGCTCACGGAGCGTCTGCGCCACATTTCTGTGATGTGAAAACACCAGCTTGCAGAACGTGACGTGGCTCTGCGGGTGAAGCTCGTGGGAGGCGAGCACGTGGCCGGCTGCTTCCCAGGGACACACACATGCGGCCCGCAGCGAAGCCATCACACCCGGGCTTACCTGCTCTCCTCCTGCGCTTGGCGGGGGCTCGGGGCGTCACGGGGCACTGGTACACAGCAGAGCTCAGACCCGCAGCGACGGCCTCGATGGTCTCGTCCAGAAGAGAAGACATGAGGTACCGTGGGACATGCTACATGGAAAGGAGGGTGCCATCAGCGAGGCGACCGCCCATGCGCTTCTCAAGCAGCCCCCGTGCCCTGAGGAGGACTCCGGGTAGGACCCCAGCAGGGGCGGCACCACCTGGGAGCCCCTGAGGGACCCTGTGCCAGCCCCACCAAACCAACCACGGAAGCTGGATGCCCTCGGCCTGCCAGTAACAGACCTAGCGGGTGTGCCCTTCTTGCCTCCGACAAACGCTGCGCGCTTCCAGCGGGCAGTCCGGGGCCTGGGAGGGCCTCCTGAGAAGCGAGTCGGGGTGAGAATGAAGGGTGATGAGTAGCCGACCGCGCAGGCTCCCGGCCACGGCGGGGGCCCAGCGAGATGGGACGCAAGGCGGACACAGGAGGGAGGGAGGCAGGACTGCGGGCATCTGTGATGGGGCGGTAGGGTAGTAGCCTCCACCAGGTCCTCTCACCCCCCTCCAACAGCTTGATGCTCTCCCTAAGCAGCCAGACAGCAGAGAAGAGCCCCCCCACCCCCCGGCCAGGGCTGTCCGTGGCTGGTGTTGCCACAGGGCCCTGCACCCCGAGGGGCCGCGTCGGGCACGGCTCCACAGTGGGACCGGCAGCCTCAGCAGTGGGCGCCCACCTGAATCCTCCTGGCAGTGGAGATCCGGTTCCGGTTCACAGTCGCTCGGACCCTCTCGCTCTGCCGCGTCCTGGCAATAGCGCGGGTCCTCCCTGCGTGGGGCCGAAGCCGGCTGGCGGTGGGCACCACGTCAGCCAAGAGCAGGGAGACCTCCTCCTCACTCACAGGACCCGCATCTGGGGAGGAGGAGCATCCTGGACTGACGTGTGTCCGCCGTGGCCTTGGCCTGGCAGGGGGCATCTCCCCGGGGTCCTGGGCTGCCCTGACAGAAAACCCTACAAGTTCTCCCAGAAGGTGAGAGGCCCCTGAATGCTCCCAGGCTGGGGGGAGGCGGTGCCTATACCTGCAGCGGGAGCAGCTCCAGGCACAGTGCATTCCGGACAGAACCACTCGTCCACTGGCACCTCCTGGAGAGGAGGGTCCAGACACTCCATGTGGTACCTACAGGAACGAGCAGCAGACAGGGGCTTTAGCACCACTGTCACAACCCGGGGAGCCACCACCATCATCCTGATGTGTCCCAAGACTGCAATGCCCCCGCCGTAGACTGAATCGTGACCCCCCAGTCCCCACGTCGAAGCCCTAATACCCAAAGTCATTGCATTTGGAAATGGGGTCTCGGGGGTGGTGAGGTTACCGGAGATCATGAGGGAGGGGCCCTGACCCACGGACCGGGGTCCTTGGGAGAGAGAGGGACCCAGTGCTCCCTCTCCCCACTGGAGAAAGGGCCTCGAGCACACAGCAAGGTGCTGTGGGCAGCTTCCGCCTGGAACATCTCACCAAGCTGACCTTGGGGACGCGGTGCAGGCCGGCCTGCTCAGAGGTCCACGTGCATCAGACGGAGACACAAGGCTCCCTATCCTCCTGCATCCTTCCCTGGGGCATGCTGGCTATCTCCGCCCTCCAAAGGGGGCCCAACGGCTCCCGAATCCTCCACAGGAGGTGTACTGTGTGGAGGGATGGACGCAGGTAGCCTCGTGATGGAGGGCAGCTCCATCCCGTGGGGGGCGTGCAGCCAACCATGGCAGGTATCCTGCACCTGCCTGCACCTGGAGCCTCAGCTTGTCCTTCCCCACCCCACAGTCACTCGGCAGCCCCAAGAGTTTCAAATGTCGGCACCTCATACTTCACAGCCCAGTCCGAAGAGCCAACGGAGAAAGGCAGGCTCTGTGTGCTGAGAGCAAAGAGAAATGGGGCCCAAGCCCAGTCTCCCAGGGGCTTCGACCCAGGCTTTGATGAAAGCAGCTTGGGAAGATTCACTTCGCTGCTGGCATGGGCTGCCATGCCAGCCTCTCCACCTTCACGCCAAGACCCCAGACAGCCCTGAGCCAGACGGACACCCAAGTGGAGTCCCCACTAAGTCCCTGAAGACCTGAGCCCAGATCCTGAGCAGCTGAAGGACCACCTGCTGGTCACGGGGTGGGGGGCCGGGGGGAGAACGTGAAGACCCAGGAAGCCAGGGTGGGGGGGGGACCTCAAAAAAGGGCCACAGGGACGGGAGCGGGGGGCGGGGGGAGGCCCCTCCTGGAAGGCAACACTGCCAGTCCAGGCCAGCATCAAGTCCTGGGGAGCACCCCAACACCCCAAGTAGATCCCAGCCTCAGAAGATCCTTCTGAGAGCTCCGTGGTCGCAAGAAGAGAATCAGGAATTGTGCAGCTTCTCACAAAGCACTCCAAGGACCCGACACGGCTCACTCCATGTTTTCCTCGGGCCAAGGTCCAGGGCCTCGAGGGGAGGCTACTGCTGTGTGACAGGTGCCCGGCCCAGCCAGCCTGTGTCCTCCGCAGTCCGTGCACAGGCAAGACTGGCTGGGGACTCACATGGAGGGAGGGTCACAGAGCAGCCACCCGGACGGGGGCACAGCTCCTGTCCCCAATTCCCCACACAGCGGGGTAGACCAGGCACCCAGAGCTGACCTCCTGCCTGCAAGGACCACAGCGACGGGACGCAGTGACGTCCTCAATGGCTTCCCTGGTGACTCAATGCCTTTCCGTTAAACTGCAAGTTTCAAAAAATCAGGGATAATCTGTCCTTCACTTCCGGTAATAGTGAAAGGATCTGTCACACACATTTGTGTATCGACAGCCTTGTGACTCAATTTCCAACGTAACGGAGTCATTTCAGGTGAAAGACGAGCGACAACGACAGGAAGATTCGGCAGGCGGCGGGTAAGAGCGGTGTAAGGGCTCCTGGAGGCACGAGACCCCTATTCACTTATCTTAAAGTTTTAGATTCACCAGGATTTTTACGTACTTGAGCTTTCTTACCTGCTAAATAATTCAAGCACGGAAAATAAAAAAAATCGATACGTTAAATTCACAAACATACTTTATAAGAGTAAAAAAGTTAACAAAGCTGTAAGAAGTCCTGACAAGACTCTGTCCAGTTTCTAGGGTTACAAAGAGACCCTGGTGTAAAGAACTGAGGCCGTGGGCCCAATTCAGAAGTGGCAGGAAAACAAGCCGCCCCTGTGAGCAAATGTTCCAACAGCCTCACCTGGGCTCTCTGGCCACTGTGGAGACCACCAGAAGGCACCTGAGTCTGGCATCCGGCTGGGGGGCCCTGGGCTACAGAGCTGAGGCCAGTGGCCAGGACCACAGACAGTCCTTCCCACCTCGGATGGCCTCTCCTGCAGCACCCAGCTGCTCCAGGCCTCAAATGGCCACAAACACGGGGGGAGGACTGGTTTCGCATGGAAAGCGAGCTCTGAGAGCTAAGCTGCCCGCTCAGCCCCAGGGCCCCATGAGACCGTGTTTCTTCAGCTTCCTGCCAGTACTCAGGCAAGCCTGTAAACGAGGCACAGGGATGGCAAGAGCAGGGACTCGCCTTGAGGGTTTGTAGGACACTGAAGGCACCCCTCTCCTGTCCCCCAGACTCACAGCGACCAAGGAGCAGGGGGCAGTCAGACACGGCCACCCCCGGCCCCCCAACTGGAGCACCCGAGTGGAGCACTCACACGGCACGCACGCTGGCAGCCCCTCGTGGAAAGGCGAACATGCAGAGCGTGCCAGCTGCGAGGGCGGCACCAGAGAGGGAGGCCCTGGGCAGGGGTCAGAGCCTGGGCCAGCCTGCAACAGAGCAAAGCGAGCGCCTCCAGGGCCAGCTCTGAGTCCCCAGGGCTCGAGACTTCCTCCTGCCGCCCAAGAGGAAGTTCCAGACCTGCCGGCCCCATGGGACCCTCCCATTACCACCTGTGCCCCGAGATGCTGCCGCAGCCCCTCACCACAAGCTTACAGACTAATCTGCACACGTCCAGTGGCAGCCTCTGCGGGAGTCCCTGAGAAGAGGAACCACGATGGAAAGAGGCTGGGCAAAGGCTCCCGGGAGCCAGAGCCTGCTGGACACAGGGGTCACCTGACCTCATAAAAGGCGGGGTCCCACACAAGTCCTTTGTCTGGGCCCCCGGGGCTGCTGACCGGCCCCACAGACCCCACTTCTCATTTCCCTCAGCTTTTCTGTCTTGATGTGGTATGTGCATCTCTGTACGGAGCCTCGCGGTATTTGGAGGGAACAGAGGGTATCAACGGCAGGGACAGAAGCGCGGGGGAGGTCTGCCGGCTACCAACCGACGGCCTGGGATTCAGATGCTCCCGACACAGGGGGCTTGGCCTCAGCGACCGCAACAGTGAACGGCGGTGGGGAGGAAGCCCAGAACACAGGGCCCTCCGGAGCCACCACGAGGAGGGCCCCAGGCTCACCCGGCGTCACAGCCGTCACAGAGGAGCAGACGGTCCTCCCGGTCACTCCTGCCGCACACCTCACAGAAGGTTGGGTCTTCTTCCTCATCTTCTCCGGCTCTGGCATTCTCCACTGGAATCTGTGAGCAGGAAAGCACCGCTGGTCACACGGCAGGTATAGCCCAAACCACGGAGCAGACTGTGCAGCCTCTCCCTGCTGGTGGCGGGGGGTGGGGGGGACGCGCAGAGCAGAGGGAGCCGGCAGCCACAAGCCAGGACACTGGCCCTGGAGCGCGAGGAGGGGAGCAGGACAAAAGCAGCAGGCCTTTCCTCTTGTGAGAATGACTGTATGACCCGGCAAAGACGGAGACACGGATGCCAAGGACACGGTCCTCACACGGGCCGCCGCACTGGGACAGTCCCAGCCCCGTGTGGGGCCGGCCCTCGACATGCAGGCTCGGAGATGTGGTCCTCGGAGCTAGGTCTGGGGACACAGTCCTCTCAGATGGGACACCATCTCTGCACCCCACCTGTCTCCCCATGCCGCAGGGCACAGCCTCTGTCCCTCTCCTCCTCCTGTCACACACACACACACGGCCTTTTTCTCCAGAGCCGGGCAGGTGACTCCCGCACCGTGGCTCCTGGATCTTCTCCAGCCGGGCTCGCTCGTGGGCCGCTAGGACCTCTGCACACCCAGCAAGGGGTCGGGGTCCACTCTGGGTAAACGGAGGCTGCCCACCGGACGTGGGAGGCGCTCCCGGGCGGAGGGGAGCAGAGCGCCAGGGCCAGAACCACAGCTGCCAGGAGCCCCGCGTGCCTTTACAGAGCACACACCTAAGAGCAAAGGAGAACCTCTGAGCTGCCCTGCGTGCGGCCCTGCCCAGCGCCGTCGGCCGTGTGGGCGCTCCCGCGTCTGCCGTGGCACAAGAGAAGAGAAGCGGGGAGGCGGAGAGAAGGCAGGTGGGAGTGGGGAGGAGGACGTCGGAGAAACTGCCACCGTCTGCTCCACCCAGAACCAGCAGCCAAGGCAGCTCCTCCATCAACGGGTGTCGCCCCTACAGGCTGCAGAGGGCCTGCACTGGCTCTCTGAAAAGCACTGGGCCAACACAGATCCCTTCAGGAAACCGATGGGCCCTGCAAGCACGTTCTCCCCTCATACAGGGACCGACGTAACGGGGCGCGGGGGTGGGGGCTCGACCGCTGCACCTCCGCTTACCTTCTTCAGGATTTTACCACCAAACCGGGCTCGAATACAAATACACTTAAACACAGTTCGGTCGACTGGACAGGAATTGGCATTCTGTAAGAGATAAAAATTGTTGTCAGGATCCCGCAGGATCATCATTTTCTCCATTCAAAATAAAGAATTCCCTCAGAAGGCAAAAACTCATTATAACCTGATCATCCAAGCTTCACTTAACACCCAGCCCAAGAGGTACAGGGGCTCCCGTCCTGCCCCGTCTTCGGTCTGACCCTCGGGCACCCGTGGCAGGTCTCGTGGTGGAACCTCACTCCCAGCTGGCCTCGTTTAAGTCCTCCCGGTGGCCCCGGCGCAGGGTTAGGAGCCCTTCCCTGTCCTGACAGGTGCCCCGCATCTTCTTGCGAAGGCCTCAGAGCACAGCTCGCTCGCTTCCAATCTCGAATCCAGGGGATGCTGTGCGCGCGCCACAGGCCGGGCCCTCTTTCCTTCCATCTCACACACGTGTACCGACCCCTCTCTACCCTCGTGCAAGATGCTGCCTGCTGTCCACCATGTGTGGCTGGCCCTTCAGGTCCCCACCACGCTCCCAGGGCCTGGTCTCCATTCCCGGAGGAAGGCTGGTGTAGTCACTATAGTTTCGTAAGTCTTAATATCCAGGAGGTGACTTCTCCCTTTCTTGAAAGGACCGGCAATTCTTGGTATTTTCCGTCCCTCCTCTCCACACTTCACAATGCCTTGAGGGCCCAGGAGCCCTGGGGTCGCCATGGCCATCTCTTGGAGCTGCGACTTCCCCTCCAGAAAGTGCTTTCTTCACTCAGACTCAACGGTTTCAGAAAAGGTCTTCACAGGTCTCGCGTGTCTTCTTAGGACTCGCTTCTGAGTATGACTTTTCGTCTCTGTTTATCTTGTGCTCAGGGATTCGCTGCGCTTCCCATTTGGACAATTCTTCTGGAAAACATCTATGTCGACAAACCTACCTGTGACGGGTACCTTTTCCTCCATGACACTTCTGCCTGTATTTTCTCCTTCTGCTAATCCAGTATGATACCAACTAGAAAACCAGCACCTTGTCAGGCTCCTCAGTTTATAAGGCTTCGGTTGTGAAAAAAATCTAACCCTTAATCTAACCTGTGCCAAAAGGGTCCAGCCCCACAGGAGAGGAGCGAGGAGCGTCGGGGGCAGGGAAGCCCTGGGACGACACCAGTGAGGCAGCAGACAGGTGGCCTCGAGGGCAGCACAAACGTGGCCGAGGTCCAAACTCCTGAGCTGTCTGGGAACACGGGGAGCAGGACTGGGGCTGTGGGGTTACTGTTAACCTCGCGAGGGGAGGTGGAGGCATGGAGATCCACTACAAACACACACAGCATCCATGTGGGTCAAGTTCCAGGCTGCACAGAGGACAGATGGCTCCAGAAGGCGGGGACGGGCGGGGGTGGGGGCGCACATCACTTCTCCTGTCCTCTTCTTCGTCTTCAGAATTTTTCACAGTAAGAAGTTTAAAAAGTCGGAAGAGGGTTACTGCTGCTCAAGTTCACCATCGGGCGGGGCGGGGGACGCGCCTGGGGGGCTCAGTCAGTGACGCGTCTGCCTTCGGCTCAGGTCACGATCTCAGGGTCCTGGGATCGAACCCCGCATCAGGCTCTCTGCTCAGCGGAGGGCCTGCTTGTCCCTCTCCTCCCCACCTGTGCTCTCTTTCACTACCTCTTTTCTCAAGTAAAATCTTCTAAAAATTAAAGTTCTTCACGCAATATACGGTTTCTGATACGCTTCCTTTATCTGTCTTCCAGTGGGCTCCCTGTCCTGCTGGTCATCATGACTCAGTGCTGAGCTCCGTCCCACGCTCTGTCTGTGGGGTCACGGCATACCGGGCTACCTCTGCCAGCCACAGGCTGCCCTGAGTTGTTCAGGATTCCCACACACAGGTCCCCACGGGGCACTGACCCAGAAATAACGTTTCTCTCTCCCGCCTCCTCATCCCATGCTCCACGGGCACATCACCCCACACTGAGCTTTCCTGGAAACCCCAAGAGTCAGGAGCACACCAACCAAAGTGAAGATCACACAAGGACCTGATGCCACGGCCTCCATGTCTACTGCGGAACAGAGAGCACCACCGGCAAGAGGCTGGTAACTGCAGGGTCACTCGTAAATGGAGAGAGGTCACCCTGAAGGAAGGAAGGCCCCCAGAGAAGCTGCCTACTCACCTTGGACCATTCGACGATACAATCCAGGCAGAAATAATGGGCACAGCTCTCTGGGGTCCCCACAGCCTGGTCCCTGAAAGTATTGAGACAAATCGGGCAGCTCTCGGAATCGTCATCAGAACTGAACGCGCCACTGGCTTCCAACTTCCCCTGAGCGTCCACCACAGCCACTAAGGCCTCCACGCCCTCTTCTCCTCTTCCTCCTTCTTCTTCAGAGTCTTCCGAACCTTGAAAAAGGAGAAACGTGACTTTGTGAGCTGGAGCCCCGGAAGCAAACAGGCCACAGAGGTATGCAGGAAGGCATGGTTCTAAACCCTACACTCAGGGGACAGACACCTTTCTGATGCCCTGCCCGACAGGCCCACCCCTGGGCACCTCACTGAAGTGGCTTCCGAGTTAAGAGGATGGGACGCGGGCTGAGTGGCCGTCCCAGCTCCACAAGCCCCTCCCTTGCTGCGGAAGCCAAGCGCTCCCCATCAGGGCAGCTGCCAGGGGCCCGCCCCCGTCTGACAACTGCCCCTGCGGAGCACAGCAGCCTCCAGAGAGGACCACACCCCCCCAGCCCTCCCCTAAACTCGGTCTTAACAGACCATCTGCCTCCACACGAGACCTTCCTTACAGGTCTATTGTTTTTTCTTTGGGGATGTAGGGACCATGGGTTCCTAACTGGGCAAGATGGCTGATCAATTTCTGAGAGGTTCTGGGGCTGGATCCGGACCAGCAAAAAAAGGGAGACACTGTCAGTTCAACACAGCAGTCAACGTATGCAAGCTCCACAAGAGGTTCAAGTTCACTTGTGTGGCAGGAGGGTCCTCACAGGGCTCAGGACACAGCCACATCCAATCCCTTCCAGGGCGGATAGAACCCGTGTCTCCCCTACAGGCCTGCTGCTGCACGGCCGAGGGAAGTACTCCTTGCCCAAACAGGTGCATCCTTTAAAAGCCATTTTCCCCGGTTGGTTGCAGAGAAAGAAGTCAGAGCGATATGCGCCCGCAGGCGTGGAGGCAAGCAAGCAGCTATGTGACCTGCCGGTCAAGGGAGTGGCCTTCAGGAGCGGAGGACAGTCCAACAGCTAGCCAGAGGTCACGACTTCAGCCCTACCCACTCAAGGCTCCAAATTCTGCCAACAAGCAGTGCCCTTGGAGGAGGACCCTGAGCCTCAGGTGGGCCCTGTAGCCCGTGACCCCCGATGTTGGAGAGTGAGACCTGGGCAAAGGACCAGCAACACACACCCGGACTGCAGACCCTGGAAACACTGAGGTTATGAACACACTGTTCTGAACTGCTGGTTACACAGCAAGAAAAAAATACCTAATGAAACTGGTATGCAAAAACTTTGGAAAAGGGCACCGGGGAAGCTGCCTGAGAACGGGCTTCTCTCAGCTTTCCTGCTTTGCTAAGGGCCGAGCGAGCAGAAGAGGGTTGAGTCCAGGCGGTCAGATTCTCCCTATGGAATTCCAAAAGGCAAAAGAATTGGCCACCTCAGGGCCGCGGGACCCTGTGTAGTACCTGGGACGGTGCTACGGCAATGAGGGACAGTGACCTGCAATGACAGGAGTGGTAAAGACCCATGCGGGTGTGCAGGGCCCTGAGCCATCTACCTCCGTTCACCCCTCCTCAGGCTGCTGACGATGGTCCTGCCTCACTAGGGGATCAGCGAGGAAGGCGCAGATGAGCACAGGTTCCCCAAGAAGGGCACGGTCCATGCTGGAGCCAGAGATGGGGGTGCCCAGGGGGCTGCACCCTGAGCAGGCCACTGTCAGTCACGGTCCCACGTCCATCACAGCTCCCTGTGGAGCAGTGCACACTTGGCCTGGAGGCTGGGGGTGAGTCCACAGATCAGAGCCCAATGTTCTCAGTTTTTGTGGTAAGACTTTACTAATACATTTTTTTAAAGATGTATATTTTTTTTAAGATTTTTTTTTTTTTTTTTGACAGACAAGAGAGTACTAGTAGGCAGTGAGGCAGGCAGAGAGAGAGAGGGGAAAGCAGGCTCCCCGCCAAAGCAGAGAGCCCGATGTGGGACTCGATCTCAGGACCCCGGGATCACGACCTGAGCGAAGGCAGCGGCTTAACCCACTGAGCCACCCAGGCACCTTAAAGATATATTTTTAAAAAGACTTTATTTATTTGCCAAAAAGAGAGAGAACACAAGCAGGGGGAACAGCCAACAGAGGGAGAAGCAGACTCGCCACTGAGCAAGGAGCCCGACGTGGTGCTCTATCCGAGGACCCTCAGATCATGACCGGAGCCAAAGGCAGAGGCTTAACCGACTGAGCCACCCAGGGGTCCCAATAATATATATTTTTAAAGATTTATTTATTCCAAAGAAAGAAAGAATCCGCATGCGGGTGTGTGCAAGCAGGAGGAGGAGAGGGAGAAGGAAAGGGAAAGGGAGAGAGAGAGAATCTCAAGCAGACTCCCCACTAAGCGTGGAGCCTGCCGTGGAGCTCGATCTCAGGACCCCGAGATCATGACCTAAGCCAAAATCAAGAGTCCGACACTCAACCGACTGAGCCACCCAGATGGCCCTTTCCAGTAGGTAATACTTGAAGTTGGAAAGTCAGCAGCCCGCAATCAAGCCAGCTGTTTACAAGACGAACGCTACGGCAAGAAAAGCAACAAGCAGAAAGAGCTGCTCTGGGAAGGGCCAGGCCCGCAGGGATATAGGAAATGCCCGTTCAGGAGATCCCTTCTCAAGGTCTGACTACACTTCCCGGAACCTGCTAAGGATAGGCCGCCACCTGTTAGAAAGGCTGGTGCCGCAGGAACAAAGGGCACTCCCGTAAGCAGACAGGCCTGCGAGCCACGAACAGGGCCTCAGTGCTCTCCCTCTCTGTAGCGCCTCCCCACCTGCAGGCCTGGCACCTGCATCTCCCTCCCTACTGGGCACTCGGCTCTGTGCCACCTGTCCGTTTACAGCAGCACTCGGTCCGCTACCGCCAGCCCCTGCCTCCTGTCTTCACAGCACAGCTTAGACAGACCTCTCTGGAAGCTTCTCCTCACTACTCCAGGCGCACAGAACCCCTCTTCTGGCGATGCCCCTATATACCCACTCTTGCCATGATTGCCCTTGTTATAACCGCTTCTTTATGCCACTGTCTTTGCTGCTAAGTGGTGAGCTCAGGAACAGCAGGTCAGTGGCCTTCTGCACTCCCTCCGGGCCCCAGCCAGATTCTCTGGCATCCAGCAGGCCCTCAAACCTTGGCTGGAGGGACGAACCCTTGCCTTCAGACCTGCCAAGGCCAAGTGTCTAGCCTGAGACTTGCTGCAGGTCAGCCGAATGCCACACGTCAATCGTGGGGGACAATCAGAAGAACTCTATCCGTGACCTGCAAACTCAGGACATACTTTCAGGTCCCTGTGTACAGCATCCAAAGTCCAACTGTGGATGAGTAAGTCACCAACACACACAAAGTTGCAAACTCACATCCACTCATGCTGCTGCAACCCTTTTCCTTCGGAGCCCATTACCTTTCTGTAACATTCTAACACTGCCAACTGCAAGAGCCCGAGAGACTGTGATATGCAGATGGTACTTGCTTTAGGGCCATGCCTCTCTCCCGGCTTGATGAGTACTTCCAAAGCCCAGCGCCCTATCAGCAGTTAGGGCCAAGTGCGCCCTCCTTCTCTGGAAGGGGAGCACAGCTGGTCTCAGACAGGGCAGCCCAGCCTGGGGGCCTTGGGAAGCCATGCAGCAGCCAGGGTGGCTAGAGGGACAGGGAAGGAGGTGCTGTAAGCCCAACCAGAGTCTCTTATGGCAACATTCCCTACACAGAAGTTCAAGGGCACAGAAGTCAACTGGCATGAAAGTGCTAGGAATTCCTTAATAAAATTACTTCCTGCACTTGTCAGCTCTCGGGGGCTCTGGTCAGAAGAATGAGAGGAAGCCACGAATGGCTCCACTGAGCTGGCCTGTTGAGAGTTCTGGCCAGGTGGCCCTGGGCCACGGCAAGCCTCTGCTCACTGTGCCGGCAAATCCACTCCACTGGGCTCACCCCAGAAAGACCCCAGTTTGTGCTGCTCCACGTTCCTAAACATTGGAAGCTGTGCTGTCAAACTGAATTCTGAAACAAAAGGTTACAATGAACATGAGCCCTGCCCCGGCGGAAGGTGAGGCTGGCAGGGGAGCCTTGCAGCCCTCCGCTGGCCAGTGTGGACAAGCCACCAATTCCAGCACCGTTCCATAAACAGCGGTCCCCGTCACGGCGAGGGAACACAGCAGGCCGTGTGAACGGCGGCACTCTCACCGGACGGGTCCTCCAGGCCCCCATCCTCGTCCTCTCCGTCCGTGCTACAGCTGCGCTCGCTGCCCGTGTCCTCCTCAGAGCCCCCGCCGGTGCCGTCACTGCTTTCTTCTACAGCAAAAGAGGTGGAGAAGGGGCCCCGAGAAAGTGTCACAACCAAGGCAGCGAAGAGGGACGCCGCCTCCCGGAGGCACAGAAGTGCCCGACGCACCCACCAAGGGGACTATGAGCAGCTGCCCACATGGGTGGGGACAGAAGCGGGAAAGCACAGCCTCTCGCTCTCTTTACATCTGTACGCCTCAGCTGAACGGTAAGATAAACGTAGGTACCCCTCATGCAATCAGAGACAATAACTTAGAAAAAGGAGTAAAAGTTGAAAACCGACCCATGCAGATAACCCTCCAAAGGGACTCCGCACGCAAGGCGGCCCTGCTGCTTCTGAGAGGTACGAGCCGCAGACACCTGCTCCCCGCCCGGGGTGGGGAAGAAGGGGTGGGAGACTGGCTCACCAGCATCCCTGGCCAGGGCGGTGGGGCTGAGTCGTGGGCGTCCGTCCGGCCCTGGGCTTCGGTCCACAAGCTCGTTCAGACTGTCGTCATCCATCCCTGGACATTGGCGTTCGGCTCTGAAATAAATCAGAGTCAGAAAGTTCCCAACTGTCCCAGGATGCAACGCCCCCTCCTGAAAGCCCAACAGTCACTCGGCACACAGCATGACCCGTGACACGTTCATCCGCAGGACAGGGAGGCTGAGCCATGAGAGAAAGCAACTTGAACTGCAAAGCTGTGCACTGGTAGGAGAGAAGACACTGATTCTCATTTACAGAGCAACAAAGTCAGATCTTAATTTACGACGAGCTAATTAAGCTTCAGTCTGGCACCTACAGCACCTCACCAGTCCCAAGGAATCCTGACGCCAGGCACGAACGCGATGGCTTATCATAAGCTGAGGCAGAGCAGGGATCTCAACCTAGCGGGGTAGGTGTCAGAAGGGTGTAGAGGGCTAACAGGACCCTCTCCCTGCACTCTCCTCCCCTGTCACTCTTGGCCAGCATTGGCCAGCCTGACCTCCGCGCACCAGATCACCACCAGGGGCGGCATGTCAGCTGAGCTGCTCTGACCGCACCCCACCACGGGACACAGAGGTCAGGCTCACCTCTCAGACACCATGGCCACTTTGCTCTTGGGCTCCTGATGTCGGGGGGGGGGGGGGGGGGGGACACCTGTCCTGCCTCCTCTGTCCTGTGACTGCAAGGACAACACAGAAGACCGAGACAGATGACCTCACAAATGTAGCAAAACACATCTACCTCTATTGCCAGACCTCCAACTTTTGACCCCAAATAAGAGCTCCTTTCTCAACAATGCTACTCACTTCATTTCCCAGGTGACTCTCAGAGGAAACACTTCCCACAAGGAGTCCCTCAGTTACTTACAAAGCCAGGACGAAGAAAACCCTCCCTGGGGTATGGTGTGCTTCAGGCCAAGTCCACTCTCCATGGTCAGAGAAAAGTGGTCACACAAAAGACCAGAAGGCAGAGGGGCAAAGCAAGAACTGGGAAGGAGGCCCGACCAGATAAGGCTTCTTCGTGGATCCCACACGCAGGCTTCCTCCCCCATGGGCCACGTGCCAGCACCAAGAGCTTCACGTGGCAATAAGAGAAGGGCTTATCACCACCACCTCTGGACAGATGCTCCCGGAGAATAATCCCCTAGTGGGGCTAAGGCCAGATTCAGACTCTGGAGAGCCTAACTTCCCTTACAAAGTCCCCAATTCTAAAGTAGTGAGGGCATGTTAATTTGATGAAACTATCAACTGCCTTCTGCTGTTCCTACCTGGAAACGGTCCACTCAGAGCTGGTTCTATACAATTATTCACCCCCTAAAGCCACCACCTTTCCTCTACTTAGTGTTCTAAGGTTGAGAACACGAGCCATGGCCCCACTCAACTAAGGGTCTGCACTGTCACTGTTTGGTGACTCAGCAACACGCAGGGACCCAGCTGTCCTGCAACTCCCGGCCATGACTCCTGCTGGAGGCATACAGACCTCAGGATATGACAGGGCCACAGCCCTTCTAGGAGGATGACACCTCTCCTGTGGGGTCAGGGAAGAGGGCCTAGAACATTCTGGCCTGTGTCATCACCATTCCCACAACCGGACTCCACAAGGTCATCCTGGGACACCTACTCCAATGCCTACCCTGCTCCTAAAGTGTGCAGCAAACTTCCTGCCCTGCAGGGAGGTAAATACCTTTTTGCAAGTTGGCCCCCCAAAAAACATGGGTTTGAACTGCACAGGTCCATTTGCATGTAAAAAAGTTTTGGGTAAATACAGTACTATAAACGTGTTTTCCTTCCTTATGACTTTCTTGGTAGTATTTTTCCCTTCAGCTCACTGTATTAAAAGAAACACGTGTTCATCAACTGCTTATGTCATCAGTAAGGCTTCCATTCAACGGGACGCCGTCAGCAACAGTCTTCAGAGGGAGTCGAAAGTTACGCATGGATTATCCACTGCACTGGGACTGCCGCCCCAAGCCTGTGCTGTTCACGTGTTCGCTGTACCAACACACAGAACCAGGGAACGCTTCACACGCCAGAAAACGTAACCCCTGAGGCCACCTAAGAGATGACAGAGCACAGCCGAGGGCAGGTTCTGGGGTGCAAATTCTTTCCCTGATGATGTGTTACACAAGCACAAGGTCAAAAGTCTGAACAAACAGCCCCTGGATTCTCCCCTGGTGCACCAAGACCCAGGTCCACTGGTAATGGGCAGTGGCAGGGCCTGCCTCAGAGGGCTGTCGGAAGAGGTCAACAAGGCCACGACTGGGTTTGGGATACAGGGGCTTGCCAGAAATACCCACGCAGGAATGGGGTTGAACTCCACCAGTCCCTGCACCTACGGGGTTAAGTCCCATGGGTCCTGTGCTCCTCCACCACAGCTGTGAGGGCAGCAGGAGAGTGTCAGCTACGAGGCTGAACACCGTCTGTTCTAACATCATCACGTGACAGTTAACTGCTGGGAAAAAACCCAGGCAACTTCTGAAAGTACTTCCCAGAGTAAGCACCTGTGCAAATACCGAGGAGGCGGCCACTAGAGACCCTAGCAGCCCTCTCCCTGTTGGGAACACTGTGGTCAGAGCTGTGTGTCCATGGGGGCCCCACCAGCAGCCCCAGCTCAGAGGTGCCTGTCCATGCTCACCATCCCTACCCCAGCCAGCCGGGATGCTCCAGGCCACAGGCAATGCTGGCGGTACTCTGGGGCTCTCCTCTCTGCTCTAGATTTAGGGAGCTGAGAGGAAACACTTTTTCTCTTTTCAAATGCAAGGACCCAAAGCACCTACGATTCCGACCATTACGAAGGAACCCAAAGAACTTCTGGTGGTAACCGGCCCCCATGCCAGGCCCTGAGCAAGCATGCCAGGTCCAACATCTCACACCCCGCCAGGACTGTCGTTCTTGACTCCACGTCTGCCACGAAGGACAGGAGACCTGAAAACTGAAACTGCAATGCAAGTGAAAAAGTAGGGCCAAGGAGGTGTGTGCAGGGCTGACGCGGACACCAAGCGTCCATTCTGGGGGGACTGCAGAGAAGCCCAAAGCTGAGCTCGCCCCGGTGGAGCCCTGCCACTGGCCTGGTGCAGAGACCGCACCAGAAGGGGCCAGCCGCTGTTACTCTGACTCAATACTCTCCCGTGAACAAACCCTCCGGAGGTCCTGGGAGGCCTCGCTTGAGCCTCAAGGTCCAGCCACACGAGCCCTGGCTAGAAGGAGGCTCCCAGGCCGACTACCACTTGCTCCGAGAAACGACGACAGCACATAACCTCCGCGACCGACAAGGCATAACCGGGCGCTGCTAAAAACAGCGCGGAGCAGGGGCCGGAAGCTGTGCGCTCGGCAGCTGCGCGCCCGGGGCAAGTCGCGCACCCCTCACGCGCGGAGCAGGAAGGACAATGCCTACTCCCGCGGCTCGCTGGGAGGACGACGCGAGCTAACAGGAAACCATCCCGCCGGCCGCTCGGGCTGCCCAGACGCAGACGAAGCCGCCGGCTGCAGGGGCCACCAGGAGCTGGAAACGAGTCGGCACAGGGTCACGCCTCGCTCACACCGGGCACGGCTGGGGGGGTTCCCACGGGACGAGGCGGGTGCGCCCCCCGCGACTCTGGACAGGAGACGGCGACCCCAGAAACCCGCGTGCGGGCCGAAGGGGCTCCCGGCCTGGGCGCCGGCCCTCCCCCCCCGCCCGCCCTCCCCGGGCCCGAGCAGCGCAGGCCTCGCCCTGCGGGGCAGGCCGCAGACAAAGCGCGCGGCGCTCGGGGACGGCCCTCGCGCCCGGGCGCGGCCAGGACCCCCAGGCCGCCGCGGGCCCCGCCCGTACCCGAAACCCTTGCGTCCCTCCGCCTCTCCCGGGCGCTCGCCGCGCCGCCCGAGCGCCGGCCTCGACTAGGCCGCCGCCACCGCCGCCACAGCCGCTGCCGTCTCCGCGCGCTCCCCGACCCGGAAGTGCACGGAGCCGGCTTCCGGGCCTCCCGCCTCGCCCCGCCCATTGGCGGGGACCACTGGGACCAGGGCGGGGAAGAAGAGCCTGGAGGGGCGGAAGCCGCCGCTCGCCGCGGCCGAAGGCCTCGAGGCTTCGCAGACACTGCTTATTGCTGGCTCACCGCCCAGGGAGACCCGTGTCTGGAGGAGCTTGTAGGGTCTAGGCCCCCGCCGGTAGGCTGTTCCGTGTCAGCCCTCCCCTTCCGGGACTTGGTACAGTCCGAGCCCCGGCCCTCCGCCCAGGGCGAATGGCTGCGGCCATCCGGCACACCTGAGACCCCGCCCCCAGGCTTGGCCCCGCCCCACGCCCGTGAACACGCTCCCACCCTGCTGCCCCGCCCCCACGCGGCGGCCCGGCCCTCCCGGCGCGTTGGTCACGCCCCCAGCCCGCGTTGCTCTGGCCACCGCTGCCCCGTGGCGCTCCGGCGACGAGCGGTTTCGCGCCCTGCAGTCGCTCCTGGACCAAACACTGACGGAATCCTGGTGGGTGGGCTTCTCCAGGTGCCGGGCACAGCGGGAGGAGACCCTAGCCCCGCGCCCCGTCTGCTTCAGACGCCGGAAACCACCAGCGCTGTCGGTCAGCACACCGCGTGGTGTGTGGCTAGCGACCCGTGCTGGGGTGAAAGATAAAGCAGGGTCGGGTCCGGGGCTCAGGAGCCTGGGAGGACTGGCCAGTGTTAGGCGGTGAGGATGGATCTGGCAGTGACGGGGGTGGGGAGAGCCCTGAGAAGCCGCTGCCGGACGTCGGAAAGGAGGCCAAGCCGGGATGGCCCGGCCCAGTGCGGGAAGTGGCCAGAGGCGCTAGGGGCTCTGGTGGATCTGGAGCTGGATGACACGTGCTGGCTTGCCGTCTCCGGGGGGCGGGGCAGCAAGGTGGGGGAAAGACTAGAGCAGTGAGGGCAGACACAGGGGGACCCCAGATGGGGAACCACCATGGCCTGGGCTGGGCTGCGGGCAAGAAACTCCTGGTAGATTCTGAAGAAAGGGGATTTGCGAAGTAAACAGGAGGGCAACCTGGAAGTCAGGCAAGGAAGGACATGTGGGCACCTTCTGTACATACCCACTGTCCAACTGTCACCTCCAGGCCACACTGACTAGCCACCCACCTGCCACCTCTCACATGCTAGATCCAAGCAAGGACACAATATGTGTACCCTGCCCCATGCCCCTCATAGACCTGCACTCTGTATTATCTGCTGGGTTTGGGGTGGTTTTTCGTGCACTCTGTTCTCCCGCCCACCCCAGCCCAGGCAGGAACAGACACAGGAGGGCGCAACAGGACTGGAAGCTACCTTGGTTCTATCCAGCCCCCACCAGCTCTTTCCCCTGCCATCAGGCCTGCATGCAAACAGGGCCAGAGTTGGGGGAGCCAGGTGCGGCTGTGTTCCCTGACTTGGGAAGGCAGGCTTGTTAGCGTCCCGGGCCTCCCTTAACCAGTGACCACAGACTGGGTAGCTTAAAACAACAGACGATTTTCTCACAGTCCCAGAAGTTACAGATCTGAAATCCAAGGGAGCTCTGCCCCAGGGGCATCTGTAGGAAACCCTTTCCTGCCCCTTCCAGTTTGTGGTGCTCCAGGCTTCCTTGGCTTGTGGCCACATCACCCCAAAGTTTGCCTCTGTCTTTACATGGCCTTCCTCTCATCTGTCTCTTATAAGTACACTTGTCGTTGGACTTAGGGCCCACCCAGTGAAACCAGAATGATTTTATCTCAAGACCCTTAATTATGGCTGCAGAGACCCTTTCCCCAAGTAACCTAATGTTTCCAGGGTCTAGACATTTGGATATAGACATCTTTTTGAGGGGACACTATTCAACCCACTACAGAGGGTCATAAGGGATGCATTTGGAAACTGCAGGACGGGGGGACACAGCTGGAGGTCACACTAGTAACACTAAGGAGCTCAGAGTCACCCTGACTTCTGGCTTCTCTCTGTCCCCCAACTCCAGACGTCCTTCCTCCACACCTCTACCCTGTCCTGAAGGTATGGGCCTTCTCAGGGGTCCTGCAGATTCCTAGTGTTCCTTCCAGACCAAGGTATCTGGGCTTCGCTGACCCCTCCCCTGGTGAGCACCAGTAGAACGGAGCCCGCTGCTGGCTCCTCTGTGCTCTTTCCCCACCCACAGGCAGCCACACCCACAACATCCTGGCCTTGGGTTTCTATCCCCAAGCTTCAGGCTCCGATGTCCCAGCCCTCTGCACTTAGCCACTCAGGCAATGGTTTTAAGGAAGAAATGAAATGAGTGTGGTGATGGGAAGGGGGCAGCAGGATCTGTGCTGGGGCTGTGGCACCTGGGGGGCTCCACGCCCCACACAGGTAGGATGGAGGGAGGTCACTGGAGGAAGGGAGAACCAGGAACAGGTGGTGTATGGCCACAGGTGAACCACGAGGGACAGGGGTGGCTGAGGCTGAACCCCTGGGCCGTGAAGAGCCGAGGACTCCTTTGAAGCTGGCTGGAACCAGGTGAGTGGGGTTCTCTAGGGAGGGCCAGTGTTGAGGCAGATGCGGGAGACTGAGTGAGGTAAGGGAAAGTGGGGAGCCCTGTCTCACTTTGGAAGGGCGCAGAGGGCTTGTGAGGATTCCTGTGTCAGGAACAAAAGGAGAGCAAGGGTCTCTACCCCATTGGGGGTCCGCATGACCCCTGGTTCTGCCTCCGGGGTCCCCTTGGCCGTGGAGGCGGGGAGGAGAATGTGAGGGGAAGGGGGTCAGGGCCAAATCTCCCTTGGCTGCTACCTTAAGGCATCACCAAGGAGTCAATAACTCCAGGTCTGAAACAGTCTGTTCTCACGCTTTATACTTTTTCAAAGCCCAGACAGGACGGGGCAAAGCACCGACGGCCCTGCGCCCCGCGCCGTGTCCCCTCCGCACTCAGATTCCGAGCCTTCCAAGGTGACGGATTCCACCGGGGTACCGCGGAGCCCCGGCCCGCCAGCCACAGCGCTCCGCGGGCCGCGGGCAGCGCGGGCCCCATGTGCGTCCGGAGGGCGCGGCCGGGCTACGTGCACCCCAGCCCCGCGCGTTCCCGGGAGCTGCGGGCCCACCGCGAGGGTGGGGAGAGCGCCTCGGGCGGTACCACCCGCCGGGCCGGCGGGGGAGCAGCCCCGCGTGGCAGCAGCGCGACGCCCGCAGGCCCCGCCCGGCAGGTGGCGGCCCCGCCCCGAGGCCGACGTGCGGAAAGGAACGCGCCGGCCGCGCCCGCGAGGGGCCGCGCGGCGGTGGGCGTGGCGGCCCGCCCCCACCTCGCGCCCACTGGCTGGGACGCAGCAGGGCGGGCCGGGCCCGGCTGGCCATTGGCCGCGAGACTCGCGTATTTGCATACGGGCCGGGGGCGGGACGCGGGCCAGGCGCCGGGTGCAGGGAGGTCGGGGGGCGGTCGGGGGCTGGTGTGGGGCTGGTCGGGGGCGCCGGGGCCCGCGGCCGCCGCCGAATTTGGGCTGAGAGCCGGCGACGGCCCCGCGCCGCGGTTGCAGGTGACGCTCGAGGGGTCCCAGACCGGCGGGCGGGGGCTCGGGCAGGGCTGGTGCGGTGGGGCTCGGACGCCCAAGTTGGAGGGGAAGGAGGGGTCAGGGGTGGGACGGCCCATCTGTGCACCCGGTGGTCCCTCCAGGCGCAGGGCAGCCACTGCCCACCGCACACTGCGCTGCTCCGGACCCACTGTGCGTGTGACAGCGGCTGATCTGTCCCTGGGCAGCGCGACCGCCCCGGCCCTTCTGTGAACCTGGTGTGTCGGGCAGGGGACGGCCAGACCAGGTGGGAGGATGAACACCAAGGCGGGGAGCGGGCGCCCCTTTGTCGGCGCTCAGCAGCGGGGTGGGGAGGAAGGGGAAACACCGTGGGGCTTCACAGCCCTCCGCACGAGGGGGCTCAGATTGGGCCAGATGCGGCTTTGGAGGGAACTTTCCTTGTGTGTCTCAGGTGCCAGGACCTGCAGAGTTGCTGGATAAACAGGTGTTCTGGTCAGACCCTTGGCCCTCAGGACCGGACCCCCTACTACCTGCCTCTTGAGGGCCACCACTGGGAACTCAAGGAAGATGGTGACAGATTTGGCTTTTCTGCATATTTCTGCCACTCAGCAAGAATGCCAAGGACCCACTTGTGCCCAGCAGTGTGCCCTCCTGGAGGTGGGGGCACCGGGCTGAGCTCCCAGCCTGTCTGCTGCCGGGCCTGCTTTCTCTGCTAGGGTTCTTTTTTTTAAAATTTAATTTAATTTTATTTATTTATTTGACAGAGAGATCACAAGTAGGCAGAGAGAGAGGGAAGCAGGCTCCCTGCTGAGCGGAGAGCCGGATGAGGGACTCAATCCCAGGACCCTGAGATCATGACCTGAGCTGAAGGCAGAGGCTTAACCCACCGAGCCACCCAGGCACCCCTCTGCTGGGGTTCTCAACCCACTGTGAAGATCTGCTGGTCGAGAGCATGTCCTGAGCAGCCTCCAGGCATGAAGGGGCCAGGATGCCTGCCGCAGGCCCTGTCTCCTCCCCAGATTGGCGGGCATTGATGGCTGGCACTGGGTCTGCAGTTGTCAGAGCAGTGTGAGGGACAGGCAGCCTGAGTTGAGGCCTTGCATGGACTTGGACTAACCTTTGGAGGGACACTGTCGTAAAGGTCACTGTGGTGCCCTGAGGGTCACACCCAGCAAGTTTGGCAGGACAGGGAGGTTGTGGGTGGCCCTTGGGGTTGAGAACCAATGGTGCCAGTTGCCTGTCACAGGGCAGTGACTTGCTGTGGGTGACCCCCAGGGAGCCCCAGTGTTCCAGCCAGCCCACAAGAGTACTTTTGTACTGGAGGTGAGCAGGAGGGGCTCCAGTGCCATCCCCCAGCACAGTCTGGCCCTACAGAGACATGGATGATGACTGGGTCCTGTCTCACCTTGGCCAGGGAACTGGGCTGACCTGGCTTGGTCCTGCCCTGCCCTGGCCTGGATG